CAATTAAACGTTCTTGACAAATTACACGGGTCACAAATAAAACAAACTAGAGGATATAGCAAAAAAAAAAAGGAACACTCAGATATAGACAACAAACTGGTGGTTATCAGTGCGGGACGGGAGGGGGGAGGGGCACGACGGGGGGAGGAAGATGAAGGCTGCGAACTACTCCGCAGGGAAGTAAACAAGCTACCAGGATGCAGTGTGCAGGTCAAGGGATAGAGCCAGTATTCTCGAGCCACCATAAATGGACCCTTAAAAGTTTTGAGTCACTTTGTATACCTGAAACATAAAACTAGACATCAACTATACCTCAAACATATATATATATATGTATATATATACATATATATATATATAAACAAGTACTAGGGATGTAGTATGCACCATGATTGATCTAATTAACACGATTGATATAATTAACATGATTGATGTAGTTAATGTTATCTATGAAAGCGAAACAGTAAATCCTGAGTATTCATCACAAGAGAAAATTTGTGTGTGTGTGTCGGTATGAGATGATGTGTGTTCACTAAACTTACTATGATCACTTCATGATTGTTTTTTAAGTCAACCATTACGCTATACACCTTAACCTTACGCAATACCGTGCATTGAATATATCACAATAAAACTAGAAGAAAAATAAATTAAATGGGTCATATAACTTTTGGAGCACCTCTTTAAAGCATTTGTCCTCATCGAATATTCTAGATGGGGACCCAAGGGGTGAGGAGGGGGTGACGATAGGAGAGGAAGGTAACTGGCGTGTCCTGAAATCCAGTTTTCATCATCATCTCAAAACAGGGAACCATCTTCCATCCACCCACTTATGCCAAAACCTAGAAATCAAACTGGTATTTCATCTCCATGCCCTACACACACGCACCCCCACCCCCTTTACCCATCAGCAGGGCCTGTAGCTTCTATCTTACTGTATCTCAAACCTGCCCGCGGACCTCCATCTCCGACGCAAGGGGAGCCTTTACCCCACAGCACCGTGAGCTCTCACTCCTGCCAACACGCCACGGTGTCTGCAAACCTTCCTTTCTAGGTTTGCCTTAATATGTTCTCCACCCATAGCCCAAGAGATCTTTTCACAGTGTAAATCAGACGGTGTCACCACCCTGTTTAGTGGCTTCCTATTGCCTCGGGAAAGAAGAACAAACTCCAGGGCCTGCCTGCCTGCCTGCCTGCCTGCCAGCCCTGCCGATCTGGGCCCTGCCTGACTCTCCAGCCTCAAGTCTTGGCAAGCCCGTCACTCAGAGCTCTAAGCCGCAGCTTCTCTCTGACCCAGAGGCTCCAGCCCTGGGTTCCCTTCGCCTACTTCTCTCTTCCGAGCCTTTCAAAAAATCAGCTTCTGTTCCTCCTGAGAGGTTTAAACTCTCTCTGGGCAGGGAGCCGTGGCAAGATGTTGGAATGTCTTCTCTCCAGTAATCCAATCTTGGGCTCAAATATTCCCGTTTCAACCTCTAGACAATTACATTAATCCTAGAATACTATTTCATCTCCATGGGTTTCCATTCCTGATCCATAAAATCGTGTGATGGAGGGAGAGGGAAGTAAATCTTAAAAAAAAATTGTCTTAATTGAACTATAGTTAAGGAATTCCCTGGCAGTCCAGTGGTTAGGAGCCAGAGCTTTCACTATAGTGGCCCCAGGGTTCAATCCCTGGTTGGGAAACTAAGACCTTCCCCCCAAAAAGTATAACTGATTTACAACAGTATGTGAGTTACAGGTAGACAGCACAACGATTCAACATTTTTATAGGTTATGTGTGTGCCTAGTCAGTCATGTCTACTTCATTTAAAGTTTTGAAACGTTGGCTATATTCTCTGTATATTCTTGTAGAAGCAGACCTTTCTCATCACAAGGAAAAAATATTTGTAACTCTGTTCATTAAACTTATTGTGGTCATCATTTCTGAAATATGTACATATATCAAATTAGTATATTGTACAATTTAGGCTTATACAATGCTATAATGGTAATAATTTGGGCTTTCCGGGTGGTTCAGGGGTAAAAAAAAAAAAAAACCCTCCTGCCAATGCAAGAGGCATGGGTTCGATCCCTGGGTCAGGAAGATCCTCTGGAGAAGGAAATGACATCTCACTCCAGTACTCTTGCCTGGAGAATCCCATGGACAGAGGAGCCCAGCGGGCTACGGTTCATGGGGTTGCAAAGTGTCAGACACAACTGCTCCTGAGCACATATGGTAATCATAGCTCAATAAAACTGGAAGAACTATATAATAATATAATTATTTATATAAATATTTCTGTTTATATAAGACTTGAGAGAATTGGGACACTGCATGAAGCTTGTAAGCCCACAGTCTGGCGGGCCTGGCACTGTTGTAGGTGCCGGAGCCATAGCTTACAGTAAACAAAGCAAATGAAGCTCTTGCCCCTTTTGGAGCTTGTTTTCTAGAGGGAGGCTGACAACACAGGCTCCGTGGAGACGGGAAGAGCCTGCTGTTTTTTGGACTGGGGCTCCTTGAGGAGCAGACCCCGCCAGGAAAGCTTTCTAAGATGAGGCGCAGAAGGTGAAAAGGCTCAAGGCGGAGGACAGGCTGCCCTGGGGAGGCCACTGCAAGGGGCCCAGCAAGTGAGAACTGGGAAGCAAGGAAATAATGAGACAGAGGCAAGGACTGGCTTTTTCTGGGTTTTTTGGTGGCACTGGGTAGCATGCAGGATCTTAGTTCCTGGACCAGGGATCGAACTCATGCCCCCTGTAGTGGAAATGCAGAGTCCTAACCACTGGACCACCAGGGAAGTCACAAGGCCTGGTTGTGAAACTGGTAGCAGGATAGCAAAGACGGTCAGTTCTCTACTCTAGCTTTATTTTATCTCATCTGCAGCCCTTGACAGAGTCAACCCCTTCCTCAAAACACTTTCTCTCCTGATTCGGGACACCGCCTCTCTTCCTGATTCCCACCAGTCCTCACTGGCTGCCCCTTCTCCATGCCTTCGCTAGCTCTGTTCCCCTGACTCCAGATTCTGATGTGCTCCAGGGTCCAACACGGGAGCCTGCTTTTTTTCCTACGCATTCTCCAAGTATTTCATCCTGTCCAATGGCTCAAAATACCATCTACAAGGCGCCTAAATTTGTATATTTCCCACCCAGACTTCTCCCCTCAAAGCCCAAAATATATTTCCAGCTGTCCACTCCAGTTCCATTTAGATGTCCAGAAATTATTTCTGGATTTCAACTCTCAGACCTTCTCCCACAATCCCCCACCACTAACAGATCCATAAGACCATAGAATCGTATGAGGCTCTCCGGGAAGGGAATGCGGATGGAGAAGAAAGATCCAGTAGAGAGATGGGTCAGCCACTGACGACTCTGGATCACGCATCCCTGCCAGGTACCCCCCAGCTCAAACCAATGCCCTCATACTCACCATTATAGCAATTATCCCTTCCTCACCCCTTCCCACTAGAGCCTAAACTCCATAAAAATACATGACACTGTGATTTGTTCTCTGCTGACATCTAAGTCTTAGTATGATGTCTGTCTACAGAGGAAATCAATAAATGCGTTCCAGACAAATGAATATAGAAATAACATTAATGTACACAACTCACATGATTCAAAGAGATGACTCATTGGAAAAGCCCCTGATGATGAGAAAGATTGAAGGCAAGAGGGGAAGGGGGTGACAGAGGATGAGACGGCTGGATGGCATCACCTACTCAATGGACGTGAGTTTGAACAAAACTCCAGGAGACAGTGAAAGACGGGGGAGCCTGGTGTGCTGCAGTCCATGGGGTTGCAAAGAGTGGGACAGGACTTGGCGGCCGAACAGCAGAACTCAGCCGCAGTGAGATCCAGCCAAAAGGGACCTGAAGTTTGAGCATTTAGGCCACTCACAGGGGTCTGGGCTGTTTCCTCATATGTACAAGGGGGCTTCTAACCTCTCTTCGACCTGCCTAGTTGGATGGTTGGGTTGCCCTGTGTCATACCAGAGGGAACCTGTAACAGCAAAGGATTGTTACCATAACTCTTGTCTTGACTACTGAGTATCAACTCGGCAGGGGGCTCCACTTCTGTCTGGACTCAACTCTGAATATTCTTGGAACTCGGCCCCCTTGACGACCTTTTGTTGTTCGGTCGCTAAGTCCTGTCCTACTCTTTGCAACCCCATGGACTGCAGCGCATCAGGTTCCTCTGGCCTCCACTGTCTCCAGGAGTTTGCTCAAATTCATGTCCATTTGACCTGAAACCCAACAGGTCCTATACTTTGCTAGAAGCGTATTCAGAGGCTCTGAACTCACTTTTCTCTGGTTTGGATGAGATGATCGGTGTAGGAATGGCTTATAGAGTTGGTTGGTTATGAATTTTACTTTATTTTTTTGGTCTGAATCAGACTGTTAACTCCATCAAAATGGGGACTTGCCCAAACTCACTGCCGGCAGAGCCTCCTGCACGTCTCTGCCTTGGGATGGGCTGTGTGGACTAAACCACCAAGACTTAAGACGCTCCCGTGCCAGAAACGGGCCAACCTGCCGAGAAGCACGGACACTACCTGGGTCCACTGTGCGTTCTACTTGGTAACTCACTTAATGCACCTAACAGTCCTGCAAGGCACGGCCTGTGTTTTCCCACTTTTATAGACAAAGAACCTGGGCACCAGGAGATTAAACAGCTGGTAATAAGCAGCAGAGCCAGGTGTCTAAATTCAGCAGCTGCCTCTAGGGCCTCTGTCCTCGTCCTCATACACAGAGCTTCCCTCACAGCGGGGTCCCCTGCCTAGGTCTCCCCTCCCCCTCACCCCAGTGTCCTTCATCACAGTGGCCTCTTTCTCCTGTGCAGACACCAGCAAGGCCTCACCCCAGCACCTCGTGGTATCTCCCCGGGACCCTGCGGATGTACTGCTAGACCCTATGTACTACTAGCACACAGAAGATGTTCATTAAATACTAGATGCAAACTGAGGGTGAATGCTGTGTGCCAGGCACGTGCCATCTACCGTCTCAGTACGTTCTCCTAGTAACACGATGAAGCGGCTGTCCTCGGCGTTGATTTCAGCGCAGGCGTTTAACACGTCTCCAGCCAACGGCACGCACACCTACTGTGAGCCGGGCGTGCTCCCCACGTGCTGGGGAAACAACTGTAAGGGAAGTGGGTGCCCATCTCTGCCACACCCCAAGCTCCTTACGATTCAAAAGTCCAATCTGGGGACTTCCCTGGTGGTCCAGTGGCTAAGGCGCCATGCTCCCAGGGCAGGGGGCCCAGCTCCAATCCCTGGTCGGGGAACTAAATCCCACATACTGCAACAAAGAGTTGGCACACCACAACGAGACCCAGCACAGCCAAATAAATAAATAAATATTATTTAAAAAAAAAAAAGTCAAGTCTGATCATATCAGGGCCCTGCCCCGAAATTCCAATGTCTCTGAGAAGACAGACAGAATTTCTGGTAAGGCCTAGTGGGCCCTCTGAAGACTTTGGACTTTGTTCTAGAGCACTGGTCTGCCACCAAAAAAAAAAGTAAGACTGGAAGAACTATAGAACTTCAAGTGTTTCTTCCTCAAGAGATTATCTTCAAGGATCTCATCCCACTTAAAGAAGCGTGGCAAAAAGCGAAGAAGTTACAGCCCTCTTACTTCAAGACCACATTCTCCTCCCCTTGAGGGTAAGATCTCAGAATCAGCCCTGCCTTCCTGATCACCACACCTGGCACCAGCTGTAATCTGATCAATCTTCACCCCTTGAGTTATTACTGCCTTTCCTTTTTTCTACCCCCCCCCGCCTTTTTTTTTTATTATCAGATAGATGGTCTATTTATAAAAATAAAATTTTATTTTTACATAACACTGAGCAGAGTTCCCTGCATGACAGAGTAAGTCCTTATTACTTAACCATCTTATGCCTCTCTTTTAAAAAAGAGGAAACCAAGGCTCAGGAGCCTTGAGCAGGCTGCCTGAGGTCACACAGCTAACAGTCTGATTCCAGATGAAGGTCAGTGGACCATATGAACCCAGCGTCAAACCCCAGCTCTGTCACCAACCTAAAGTCTTCTAAAAATGAGCCCTGATGCACACTGTTGACACTTATTTCCTGAACGTTCAGCCCTGCGCGGCTCTGGGGCAAGGTTGAAAGCTCCTGGCCCAGCCAGCCTCCCCTCCCCCGTCCTGGAACGGCCTTCCTTCCCGGGCTGCCCCTGGCTGCCCCCTCCCACCGCAGTTGCTCCCTGGCGTTCCGGTGTCCCAGCCAGCTTCCCTAACAGTCTGCTAGTCTCCTGTGAAGGTACTGAAGGTAAGAAGAAAAGGTCAAGCAAATTATGTCCCAACAGCAATTAGCAGAGTGCTTTTCGCAGAGCTGGGAGGCAGTATATGTTTGTAAGATGAAGTCTCAAAAACTTCCATGCCTCCCTTTTACCCTGCCTCTCAGAGCTGATCAGTTCGCAAGTCTTACAGCTCCTACCATCTCAGAATCTCCCAAATGCACCCTTTTGCATTTCCAGAGCCCTTGGATCTTGTTTCATTCTTATCTGTGTAACAATCTCATAACCGATCCTCTTGTCCCTGTCTTCCTAACCCAGAACACTTTTTCCTGAGCCCCGAAAATAACGCCCTGCCACTGCCCTGTGCAGTGGAGATTCGGTAACATCTCCAGTTTTACCAAAATAAACCATAGTTCCCTCTCTCAGGGAACAACACTACACACGGCCCAGCCGGATGCATTCCACAAGTATTTATGTGGGCGCGCTCCTCTGTCCCAGGCACTCAGCTAGATAGTACCGAAGCAGTGAGATACAAAGCGGACTGGATTCCTACCCTTGTGGAGCTTATATTTTAACAGGAGAAATCGTAAACAGATTAAGACATAAGCAGAAAAGCACGTAATCAGAATACCTACTCTAGAGAAATAATCACTGAGTTACATAAAGAAGCATGTACAAGGATGTTCACTGCAGTATTGTTTATGAGAGTGAGAAATTGGAAACAACCTAGGTCTTCATCAAAAGGAAATGGCCGCATACACTGTGCTATATCCAAACTGAAGAATGCAGATAGCAGCTAGAAAGAATGAAGTAGTATGGCTAGATCACGAAGACGTGGTGGAATAAAAGAACAAAGCTGCTGCCTGCGGCTGAGTTATGTTGATGTCTGAGAAAACAACAACATTCTGTATAGCAACTATTCTTCAATTAAAAAGTGAATTTGTTTAAAAACCTGCAAAAAGGAATGCCATACTTTTGTTTAAAAATATATACACATTAATGTATTTTCCAAAGGAAATACATGTATATTGTATATTTATGTGTGTATTATATAAATAAATATATATTTATATTTACACATATATTTACATTTACATATATAGTATATATTTAATAATGTACATTTATATGTATTACATTGTGTATGTGTACACATGTGTATACATATACACATATATTTATATGTATATGTAATGTAAATATATTTATGAACACACACATCATAAGATATATCCATGCTGATCACTTCTCAACATACATAAATAACCAAATCATTATCTTGTACCACTTGAAACTAATATAATGTTACACATCATTATATCTCAATAAATAAATAAATATATATATATATACATATGCAAATACACCAAATTTGGCTAATTCTCAAAAATGGGCAAGGATCCAAGGCATTTTGGTGATAGCTAAAATTTTAATCTCTTTACATGTAAAGCATACACATATGCGTACTACCAAGAAATTCCAAACTGTGGGGAATAACCTCAGAAATTAAAAACAAAACAGGCAGTAAAATGTTTAGTACCCCCACCTACTGCCTTTTCATGAACAGGAGATGCAGCACTCTGCGTACCCTCCTCCCTGCTCCGGCCGCCTGCCTGTCTCCAAACACACGTGCCATGCGTGTGCACAAGGCCCTCCGGAGCCACCCTGCCCGCCCCCCAAGGCCGCTGCGGGGGCCTCCGCCCTCTTTGTTCCCTCACCTTTGCGACACCGGCTGGACCAGGCTGAGCCCACCTGTGTAAACTGCAGGCCCCTCAGAGGGAAGGCCGCTCTCCTCCATGTCGAAGTTGCTGGCACACAGGAAGTGGCTCAGTATTTAGCTGTTCTATGTAATTAAACACTGGAAAAGGAAATGGCAACCCACTCCAGCATTCTTGCCTGGAAAACCCCATGGAGAGAGGAGCCTGACTCCACAGGGTGGCAAAGAGTCAGACACGACTGAAGCGCCTTAGCACATCGCACATTTAATTAAAAGAATGCACTCTTAGCTGTACCATTTAACTAAATAAACATGCTCCCTAGGTTCTTTCATTCACTCATGCATTTTCTTTCCTCTGCAACGTTTATTAAGCACCTACTGTGTACCGGGCACTGTTCCAGGTGCTAGGAATGCAGTTGGAAAGCAAACCAACCAAAATGCCTATCACCACAGAGTTAGCATTTAACATTCTAATGTGCTCCATTAAGTGCCGGGTCTCCCCTGGTGGTCCAGCGGTTCAGGCTCTTCCCTCCCAATGCAGGGATGCAGGTTTGATTCCTGGGCAGGGAATTAAGCCCCAAGTGCCTTGTGGCAAGGAGAAAAATAAGGGGAGAAGCGGTCAGGAAATGCAGGGGGAGGGGGGTGTTAAATAAGACAGTCTGGGATGACTTCATAGGGGCAGCCATCTGAGTAAAGATCTGAACAGGGTGACAGCGGGAGCCATGCGGACTCCTGCGGAAAGAGTCTAAAAGGTTGGCCCTTCCAAGACCTTAAAGGGTGTGTATGCCCAGTGATTCAAGGAGCAACCGAGGAGGCCAGCATGGTGGCGGAGTGGCTGGTGTGGAGTAGAAGAGACAAATCAAAAAACGAAAGTGGTGGCGATGACATCAGTTGCCTGGGGCCTTTGGGGTTTTGAGACGATAGGATTTTATCTGAATGTGCCTGAGAGCTATTGAGTGGTTTGAGCAGAGGAATAATGACCGGGTATTAAGAAGCTTATTAAAGAGATGGTAAAAATTAAGAACACTCCTAAAATAGTCAAGCAGATAGTCTCCTTTGCCAAAAGCACTCAGATATTTGTGTGTTCATATTTTCAGGTGACTTTGATAACAACAATAATAGTAATAGAAGAAATAAAAAGGATAAGAAGACAGGAAAAATAAAACAATTTATTGAGCCCCTGCTATGTGCCAGTCTTAACTCCACACCTAATGTACCCAAGGTTTTACTGAGTTCTCCTGATATCCTATCTATATTTATGTAATTATACATGAATTTATATTTATGTATAAATTAAGAATATTTAAATTCATTTGCCAGACGAGGAAACTGGAGCCAGCAGAGGTTTGCTTGCTGACTTACTAGCTTCTTTAACTTCCTTGAGGTTCGACAAGAATAAAATGAAATTTTAGCCCAGTTTAATTCCAAAGCCCACGCTGCCACATGCCATTCTTTTTCATCCTAAATTGTTGACGTTGGCCTTAGGAGAACAAAGGATAATAATCAGGATCACTGGTGGAGCACTTACTATGGTCCCAGTACATCCTATGCACCACTTCTGGATACCCAGGGCGACTTAGTACCCCCTTCACCCAGACCGAAAGTAAAAGTGAAAGTGAAGTCGCTCAGTCGTGCCCGACTCTCTTTGTGACCCCATGGACTGTAGCCTACCAGGCTCCTCTGTCCATGGGATTTTCCAGGCAAGAGTACTGGAGTGGGTTGCCATTTCCTTCTCCAGGGGATCTTCCCGACCTGGGGATTGAACCCAGGTCTCCCGCATTGCAGGCAGAGGCTTCACCATCTGAACCACCAGGGAAGCCCGGATTAGAAACCTGCAACTCTGAGCGGTCACGTGGATGGTGGTTAAAGGGCTGCGCTCAGAAGCGGGGTCCACACCGAGACTCCGCAGTAGCCAGCTCTGTAGCCTGTCCCCTCGTTCGAACTTTGCCTCTTCCCCCCCTTTTACGGATGAGGTAAGAACGCTCACTGACAAGTGTGCTTGGAGAAATGAATACATCCGCTCCTGTAAGAAGCTTTGGAGACAATTTGCTGCACGGTGGGTTTCCCAGGTGGCTCAGCGGCGGAGATCCCACCAGCCAAGGCAGGAGACGCGGGGTTGGATCCCTGGGTCGAGAAGACCC